CTTTAGATGAGCTGTGCTCTCGTCAGCCACACACACACACACACACACACACACACACACACACACACACACACACACACACACACACACACACACACACACACACACACACACACACACACACACACACACACACACACACACACAAACACACACTCTCTATCTCTCTCTCTCTCTCACACACACACACACACACACACACACACACACACACACACACACACACACACCTTGCTGTGCATTTAATTACACCACACAGACTTTTTGAGTATACTTTTCATCATATCATTCTAACGCTTAATCAAACCCATCGTCATTGTGTATGTCATCACTTGTGAAACGAGCGAGATCAGGTGGTTTCAATATGTTATTGATTAGTTATCAGTTGCCGGTTGGTTTAAAGTTTGCTCTGTTTGTGTCAAAGCACAACTACATGTCCAGTCATCACCTCATCTGATATCTCCCCCCCATCACCACCACTCCCAGACACACCTTTTGCGTGGCTCACTTTCTTTTTCTTCCATCATTGGCTCTGTTTGGGGATGGGTTGGGCCTCTGGGAAGCGAGAGGGGCTCTAACGAGAAACCGAAAGTGTGAATCCGCACAGGAAGTTGCTCCATACATGCACTAATTCATTCAAAAATCATAACTTCTGTCATTAAAGCTTTGTTTATGAGGAGGAACTCTGAATCGGTGTTGATGGGGTCAACTTTAACCTGTTGTGGACTCGTTTTGGGGAGGGGAAAACAGGGGGGAAGGGGTTTGGTTTGGGGAATGTGAGGAGGAGACAGGAGGGCTGTGCTTCTATCTAAGAGATTGTAACAATAACCACACCAGTGCGACTGGGCTAGTAGCTTCTATTATACTCAGTACTGTAGAACAAAAATGCATGGGAGTCAAAACAAAACTAACTGGGTGTGTGTGTATGCTTGTGTGTGTGTTTCTGTGCGTTTGAAAGGAAAAGAGGGGTGAGTTAAAGTTGGAATGTACTGTGGCCGAGTGTGTGTTTACCTACTCCAGCAGTTCTCACGCTCTTCCACAGACAGGTAACACACCGCCACCACTCCTGTGTGTGTGTGTGCGTGTGCGTGTGCGTGTGTGTGTGTGTGTGTGTGTGTGTCGCCTGCCCCCTCGCCAGCGTGAGTGTGTGTCTTCACCTCATCTATACGCGCCACCCGTGTGTATGTGTGTATGTCTGTGAGTGCTTCACCTTGGTATTTCACAGCAGACTTTTGTGTACACTGACTAGCCTGTCGACGTGATTGTGTGTCTGCGAGTGTTCCTGTTCACTGCTGAACGAGGGGCAGCTGGTCCCTCACAGCGGCTTTCACACACACTGACTGTCTTTTCACTGTATGTCTGTCTGCCTGTCTCCCTGCAGCAGACGGACAGACAACACGCCACTTTCTCACAGGCAGGAATGATCTTAACACGTACTGTCTTTTATAAAGTGACTGTCAGCGTAAACAAAAAGTGAGTGTTTGTACCCATCTAAGCCTGCGTAGCCAAATAAGACGTGTGTGTGCGTGAGTGAGAAAGAGAGGGTGAATTTGTACGTGTGAGTGTAGGTATGAATGTGTATGGGTGTAAGTGTGTGTGAAGCCCAACGGAGGCTACACTACTCTATGTTTGCTGTTCCCATTCCTGTTTTTATACATTTGCATTTTTTTAAGGCTGAGTTTCTGTCATTGGCTGAGTGAGCGAGAGGAGGCGGATACTCCACTCACCGCCCTGTCACTAATCTGCCACTCTGTTCCAAAATAAAAAACCTGGTTGGGTAAATCTGTCCTCTCTTGTCTTTTTTGTCTTTTATTAAAGTGGATAAATCAATGCACCTGTGACTTTTCATTCTGCTGTTTGTGTCTAGTCAGCTTTAAATAATACATGAGGTAGGTAGACTTATCCTCCCTTTTCCAGCCGTTATGCTAAGCTAACAGATTGCTCACTGTAGCTGGTATCAATCTTCTGATCTCACTAAGTTATTTTTCTACTTTGAAGTAGGCTACAGTGCACATACCAGACAACCAGAGAGAACATTGAAACCAATCTGTACCTGTCCTGAAAAATAAAACATGGTTCAAGATTTATTGGAGGTCAATTTGCATAATTTAATAATCATAATTCTACCAATTAGGGTCTGCGCAGATACTTAAGGTATACTGATTGTTGTATTCAGTTGACAGGTGCTTTATTTTATTAATCATAACTTTCATTTTGTTCCTAGTGACTTCATATCATTGTCTGTTTTTGTTTTAAATAGTGCTTTTAAATTTAAATAACCCCTTTCAAGGCACTCAATTCCACCCATGCAGTTTTATTAGATAAAACGAGTTATTATATTTAAAGTACAAACTATTTTGGGGGATGGGAGTCACTGTGCAGCAGCAGACACATATCCTCATTTGCAAACTATATGTAACCTTCCATTAAAAAAAATATATAAAATGTTTCCATATCACATTAATTTCATTTCTAATTAGTTAGACTTTTGCTATGAAGGCTGTTTTTTTTAAGGAACGTATTCTCTGTAGTCGGTATTAATCTGGTTAATACATATATATGCGTAGTAAATGAGATCAATATAAATGGAAATTATATTGATTTGAATTGACATTTGTTTTTGGCTAATAGATACGGAAACAATACCAGACCCACTTTACTTGATTGTATGCTAATTTCCTTACAAATGCACCATTATTTAAAGTACAAAAACCAATTAACATGCAGTGAACCTGGGAGTTTTTGGAGGCTCTAGGGGTCAAAGTAATCCATCGTTGTTCATTAATATAATTACGACCTGTCAAGGGTGTACCAGCCTCACTCAACGTCAGCTGGGACAGGCTGTGGCCTCCTGCGACTTTGCTGGGTGAATGTGTTAAAGGACTTTATTTAATACAATACATAATAAATCACAAGAATAGTATGTTTTAGAAGCCCTCGCTACTCATTCTGTGACAAAAAGAAATTCTATGAAATCATAAAGATTGTGGCTATGGTTGAGAACAATATTGTAATAATGCCTTGTTTGCATTTGTATTACCTCTAAATGCACCTGATTTGTTGGGTAGCTTCCAGAAGAGCTGCTAAAGTAAGCTTTACTTGGAGGTTTCTACACAACTAATCCAGATTCAACTGGAGTAACGTTCAATTAAATTCCCATTATCATTGACATCTTCATTAGTACTTCCCACATCCACTAAATAAAGCTGCAGTTTGTCAAATGTCTAACTTGATTAACATGACTTCCCAAATTGTAAATAAACACCTTTTTCTTTTATAAAACCATATTCTGTTGTATGTAATCTTTCATAAATATGTGCCTATTATCAGTCTCTGATATTTCTGCTTCCACTTTAATGCATTTTGTGGTGCTCACAGTCACATCAAATATAATTTTTCAGAAACAGCAACACATCTATTCCTAATTCCCAATCCTCTTCTCTAATCCAGAGAACAGAAAGTATCAACATTACAATTTCTCTAACTGCAGTTTGTGTGAAAAATGTTCTCGGTGTGGTTTGGATTAAAGAATGAAGCAACCAGGGCATTGTTGCTGGAAAGACACACTACTGTTGAATTATTTAAAAGTGAATTTCCAATGCTGTGAGCATTACAAATGAAATTCCATTTGTCTCCACTTGCTGGGCTGGAGGAATAAATCTCAGAGACAGATATCTCAAGATTTTGGGAAAAACAATTGTGAGTGAAAAACATTTTGTAATTTGGGTGAGCTGAACCTTTTATTTTGGTCTTGGCTGTGACTAACCCCCCCCCCTGGTGCTGGATTGAACTTGAGGCCGAGGATTTGCTCGTCACTCAGGACTCAGCAGTGGCTGCTCTGAATGAGAATATATTTTAGTAACACACATTCAAGAGAACTCGCATGCAGACACAAAGTCTCCCTCTGGTGTTCTCACACACCAGCATTAGCCTGGCCTTCATACCATTTCTGACCTCGTAACTTTACACGCAGCCCATATGACTCAACGCTACATCTGACCGAATTCTGTATATATTTATATGTGTGATGGCAGCCTCTTAACAAGCTATTTACACTTGCTGAACTCTGTGAACCGTCATGGGAGAAACACCCAGAGATGTTGCTAATGTAAGTCATTGCATACAAATGTACTTATGAATTGATTAAATAAACTGTCCTGGATAATTTGCAAGCACGCAGGAAAGGAAATTAATCTAAATGGGCCTTCAGTTTAAATTCTTTGCATCAGACCAGATTAAACCAAGGTCACCTGATGTGGAGGAGGGAGTGTGCAGATGGCCTTTCCCTGGATCCAGAGGAGACAGCAAGCTGTCCTGGCCTTGGCTATGGTGGGCTGCTTATATGGAAATGTGCCTTTCACAGAGCATGAGGGGGGTTTTATTGGAGCCCTTCTCTGTTTGGGAGGAGTAGAGCAGAGGAGGCTGAACAGGGGAGTTGGGGTAGACAGAATAAGAGCCTGGGGTCCAGGCAGTACCCCATCTGGTGGGTAACAGTGGAACAACTGAAACTAGGAAACTTGATTTAAACTGATTTTATCATGATTTTAACCTGAATTTATCCTGAATTTATCCTGAATTCAACCTGAATTTATCCCAGCATCTTTACAACTGACATGCAAATGTTTGATTGGCATCCTTCCAATATAATAAGAGAAAGTGATATGATATGATATATGAGCACTTTATTTTACAAAGACCTTGGCCCACTTTAAGCCTTTGTGAAATAAAGTAAAATTACCAGCATTTTGAAACTTTAGTTGAACTGTTCACTACTCATAGACATCTGAAATTATAAAAAAAAACATTTTTAGTAACGCCAACAAAGGCAAAAAAAATTGCAAAATGGCAAAATGTCCCTTTCAAAAGTTATAATGCACAGGTATAAGGAAGCATAACATGGAAATGCTTTCCATTTGTAAATGCAATACTTGAGTAAACATACCTACTTGATCCCAATGATTGTGATACAAACATAATATATATTCCTTAAATCAACACAATGTAAGCCTATAGCTTAGGTAGAATACAATATACCTTGTGTTTACAACTAACACACCAAGGGAAAGAGAATTAGCTAAGAAAAATATCAACCTTTTAAAGCTTGGAAGTGTTTAATGTTTTAAGAGTTGTTAAACTCAAGATCAAATGTAGGCACCTTGTTTAACATATAAATCAACTCAGTAAACTTGTTAATGTTGATTCGTAAGCAACAATATATTGTTTTAGGAAACCAGTCCATGTATATTCACTGCATGACATCAATAAAGTTTTCTTAGATTATGTCACTTACCTGATCGCGTGTGTTACCGGTCCTGGTTACTGATTGGCTGGATCAGTTTCACCTTCACGCGACACTTCTCCATCACACTGCTGAAGGTAATCAATCAATCAACCTTATTAGCCTGCAGTGCTGGAGCAATTCACCTCGTCACCTTGCTTAATTGATTATTAGTTTAGACTTCAACATGGAGGAACACTGTGATTTAGAGGAAGATTTTGGTAAGGACCACTATGATGACATTTAATTGTTTTATTGTTTTATTGGTTTATTGGTTCGCTTTTCACTCGTCGACCATTTCCTATAGCTCAACTTTTGTGTCATTTTGTAAACTTTGAAATACTTTGCGGGTGTATTTAAAGCTCTTTATCTTTCTTGTGAGGCTCAGCTTCCAGAGCTGCACAGCTCCACAGAGACACTTTACGATTTTAAAACTCAGCTATTAACATTCGCGACCTGGTGTTTGTACATGGGGACAGTGGGTTAGCTAGTTCAGCTGCAGCTAGCTGTTCAGAGTTAATTAGCGGTCAGGTGAGGTGGCACGAGACGCTGCACACCTGGGACACTAATTAAGTCACTGCAGCTCCTCGCGGGGATGACGTTTATCAGTTTTTTTTTTTCATGACTCATGAAATAGGAAAGTAAGAGCTCCAACCATTTCAAATTAGTTATTGCACTGTGCAGGGGTGCCCAAACTTGGATTAGCTATATCACACAGTAGTATTCATGTGTTAATAAACCCACTTTTCAAATAAATTCAGTCAATGAAAGTTGGAAACATTTTCTAACAAATCTAAGTTGATAAGAAAAAAGCCCAATAACTTATTTACATAACAAACTTGACGTATAGGCCTACACTTCCTGTTTATTCTTATTATAATCAATCTGAGGCTTCTGTTTTGAGGAATGAGCTAACCACTTTTTGTAATAATGTAAATGGAGCGCATCATTTACCTACATTTGATTGATTTTGCTAACTTATAATTGAATTTATGATGCAATATACCTCACTGAGTGGCCCAGCCCCGTATATTTTGTATATATCTTTAAAGCATATGCCCGAAAATCATTTGTTTCAAATTCTTAAATGTGAATTGGCTGGACTTTTTAGTATTCTGTGATGGTAAACTTAACATTTTTCTTTGATTGGAATAAAAGTCAAAATTAAAAAATCCTAACTATAAAATTGATGTAATCAGCCAATCATTTACCAACTATATATTCCCCTAAACCTGCCACAAATACAGAAGACAGGACCTCAGGGATAGCCAAGGCCCTGGATGAGAATACCACTGTGTCAGATGGCCCGTAACAAAATGCATTTCATATCATTTCATATTTTAAAGAAAGCAACATATGTCAACAGGGACTCAGTGTGAGTTGGCGTGTACCTAGAGAGCCATCATAGGTTAAGGTTTGAAACCACAAACCTTATCACAAGTTTAATCAATTTGTTAAGTATTAAATAAATTGCCTATTGGAAAAACTCAATATCCTTCACATAAAGATTAAGATGCAAACTAATAAGCTGGAAACATGTTTTAAAAAAGCCGAAAGACAATACTACTACCACTACGTGATATCAATAATAGACGTTTACAACAAGCACAGACGAAAACACATATGAATAAATAAAAAACTATGTAGTACAGATCATAGAGAAGGCAACAGAAAAATAAATCTTTTGAGAATGCTTTTTAAAGAAATTGGAGTCTTCAGGGAGTCTATTCCAGTAAATGGGATATAAAAACTAGAGACAGTCTTGCTGAGTCTCGATAAAGCAACAATATGAGACACAGATGAGTGGCTCATATCATTTAAGCTTTCTCAATTTATGGTGAAGCAAGGCCAAGTAGATCAAGAAAGTAGTTTAGAGTACGAGAAACTGATTTGGTGGTTCAAGGTGTAATGAGTTTTCTTTTACTACTCCACGTTAGAAATCTGGCTCCAGCAGTAGTTTTAGGATTATGTAGAGGTTTCTCCAGTTCTTGTTTTGATTAAAGCTGTTTGTTATTTGCTGAAATACTTATCTTGAAACAAATCAATAAGCGAAATGCTTTGAGATAGAAAAGAAAATCTGGTGGCTGTCGCAGGACTGTAATCAGTTGTTCCATCGTGTCTTTTGAATTAAATTAAACGATTCCACTGCCGACCTTACTGTTTAACTGCTCGCAAATTCTGCATGTATTGTGTTCTAGCCCAAGCTTCTAACTTAATTGCTCAGAACAAAATCTGTGATTGTTGGTTAGGCTTTAGTGATACATTTAGGGGAGTGTCTTTAGAGGGTGGACTGAGGGACGAGCTGACTCAGTAGATTTAGATCTCGGTATTGCAAAAGGGTTTCGCCACATTTGGCTGGATATTTTTGTTGCATAATTTTGGATATCTTGCTTACTCTGCTTGCCGACTGCCTCATGTTACTTATCCAGGCTTTAGTGTCCAGGCTTTACAGACTTTGGACAAAAGTCACAAAAAAACCAAAAACTCTCTTTTGCAGACTGTCCGAGCCTTCTGTGCGAGGAGCTGGAGGATTTGGAAACAAAGAACCACCAAGGGAGAAGGAGGAGGAGGGAAGGAGAGGAGAGGGCGTTTAATCAGACAGAGGATGACGAGGCAGGAGAGGAAACAGGTCGAGAACACGAGGAGGGGGAGGAAGAGAGAAAAAGGAAAGATGTTGATTTAGAAAATGAACTGATGGCGACAGAAGAAGAGGAGCAGGTGAGGCCAGAGAGCAGGCTGGGAGCGGAGGAGGAGCAGATGGAAGACGACAAGATTGAGAACAACAAGGAAACAATCGCCGACAAGCAAGAGGCCAAAGAAACGAAAAGTCTAGAAGAGAAAAATGAGAAGAAAAAGGGTAGGAAGAGGTGCGGTAGGAAGCTAAGTGAGCGAGTGAGAAACAGGAGAGGTTATAAAGATGTCAGCGAGCGCTATGAGGAGGAGAGTGGGATCCAGGAGGCGCCAGCGATGAGTTCAGAGGAGAGCTCTGCTCCGGCCGAGCCTCCCATCGGTCTGATGAACAGCTGCGACCTGTCTGACCCCGTCTTCCTGGGCTGTGGGGGGGCCGGCCTGTACTGCCCTCCTCCTGCTCCTCTCCCCCCGCTGTACTCCTCACAGCCTCCTGTCCCCATCCAACCTGCACCTCCTCTACTTCACGGGACAAAAAGACCCTGCAGCCCCTCTGTACTTTACAGTCACTCCCTGCAGGGCCCACAGCCTCACGAGGTGAGACTACACCGTCACTGTTTATCAATCACTGCAGGAAATGTACATATACAGTATGCTGAACAACATTTGAGTCCCTGAATTCCCAAACACCGTTGATTAATCTGCAGATTATAACATTTAGATTCATCAAGTCATCGTTTCCCTATAAAATATCAGAAAATAGTGAAAACTATTTTTTTTCTCAAAATCCAAGCTGATGTCTGAAAGTGTTCAGTTTACTTTGATGTAATGAGAAATGCAGAAAATCTCCAGATTTGAGAGGCTAAAACTGTCATTTCTGACATTTTTGCATGTGAAATGACTCAATTGATCAATGATTATTAAAATAGATGGCATTCATTTTTCTGTCAATTGACTAAAAGTTGCACCTATAACCAAAATGATCTTAAGATAGTTCTCCACTGATTCATCATGCACTCGTATAACATTGACCAAGGAGTTAGATTTTTTTCTGAAGCAGTAAAACCAGAGATATTGTCTTTCTTTTACCACATATTCAAAACCTGATGCCTTTATTACCAATTATGCAACATGACCGCTTCCAGTTAGTTCAGACTCGGGTGTTTATTGAAGACTGTGATGTGCTTAATTGGTGAGCTCTCTTTAGGCTTTACGACTGGATAAATCTTATCAGAGACTGTCACACTTCTTCTTTCGTGTAACGTCAGAGGTCCAACTCGGTGTCGTGTAGCCATGCCCGCATCTCTGGTCCTACGTCGAAGAGGCTGGCTTCCGAGGGTGGTCTATATAAAGGGCAGGTGGTTATTATATGTTCGGCAGTCTGTTCAGGGTCACCGCACTCGCATGCAGAACTGTCTGCCAGGCCCCACTTCTTCATTGATGTTTTGAAGCGACCGACCCCAGTTCGTAGACGGTTTAGTGTGGTCCATTGCCGGCATGGTAGTCACACTATATACTGTGTATTCTACCCTCTTTAGATGCAATATATAATCAATTAAAATTAAATGCAACAGCTCTGCCATAAATTCTACCTTTTACAAAGTTAATAATGTTGAGTTTTTATGACCTTGTGCAGTCAAGTAAAATAACACCGCTAACTATGACTTCAGGAATTAAACATATCATTAAATTAACACCTCTATAAAAATATAACATTATGGGTATAATAAAGGCAGACTTTCAGAACAGTTGCATTGGATCACATAAGACGGTATTACTGAGTAAATTTGCATCACCTTGTAGTAGTACAAGTTCTTCATTGAATCTTTAGGGTGGTTATATAATATTTATTAATTTATATTTTTATACGTCTTCATTTTAGACATTTTTCCCCAAATGTAGCCTGACACTTTTCAGATCTTTGCAAACTGTGGTTTGTTTGCAGGACTTTAAATACACTACCTGTGGTTTGAGTATTGCTTGGCGGCGCATGAGGTTAAACCTCTGCAGCCCAACAGGCACATTTGCATGTTCTAGTGAAGATCTCCAGGTGTCTAATAATAACTCTTGTCATGTATAATTACGGTGTAATATGTGTGAAATGATGCACACCTACAACCTTCTGCAATATTAATGATGCAGCTGTGGAAATAACATCCTGGGCTTTAATATTTGGCTCAGTGTGCGGTGTGGTGTGATATCAGTAGGTGAAAGAGCTTAATTGAAGCATTGTGACAAGCGAATGGAGAATTTGATGATGTCAAACTGTGTCAAATAATTTCATCTCACTGTGAAAATATGTATCACATTTGATCGTCTTTTGCCAGTTGTACCTACACCATGAAGTAATCTGTAGCTTGAAGAATAACTCTGCTCAGAACACAGAAGTATGCATTATTATTATTATTATTATTATTATTATTATTACTAATAAATAAAGAATGAAAATATTTAGCGCAATAGCACGATGCTGAATGTTCCTAATATATGGCCAGAACTGCACTCAAAATTAACCAGGAACACCAACTTCAATCTTAAAATCAAAACAATTAACCTTTTTCTATATTATCTGGCATTTAATAGACTAAACAAATAATCAATTCAGAACAAAATGGCAGATTCATTAATAAATTCAACAAATCATACATTTTGTTGCTTTCTGGGGGCTGAAAAGTTCCACAGTTCACTTACTGGTGAACCTCAACTTATTTTTGGCAGACGAACTTCCCTGTTGGCTTTTGTGACGGAGAAGAGATGATGTTGATGTTTTTCTTATTGATGACAGATGGAGATAAACCGGGTCTACTCCACCCGACACTGCATCCGCTACAGCAGCAGGGGTCGAGGCCTCAGCCTTCCTCTGTTGCCGGGGGTAGAAAAGGTCGTTGACAACGTCCTGCTTCCACCTCCTCCCAAGAAGAAAACCAGAACTCTCTACAGTACCGGTAACCAAACTGTCTTTCTGTCCAGGTGTGTTCAGATTTGGTTATGCAAACACTTCAGTGTGTGTGTGTGTGTGTGTGTGTGTGTGTGTGTGTGTGTGTGTGTGTGTGTGTGTGTGTGTGTGTGTGTGTGTGTGTGTGTGTGTGTGTGTGTGTGTGTGTAGATCAGTTAGAGCATTTAGAGGCCTTGTTCCAGGAGGACCACTATCCCGACGCAGAGAAGAAGAATATCATCGCCGCCT